GTTTCCGTCAACCTTATGTTCTACTTGAAACCAAATTGCACGAAATTAGCGAATATACACTCATTTGCATCACAAAAATATGTGTATCGCGGCATCTCTAAGATCGTAGCGACTGAAACATCAGGCAGCCTGGTGCAGCACATTCAGTTGTCTGGAAGCATCACAAACGAGAGGTTCAGCTGGGTTCCAGGTGAGTGCATATTCGCTGATTTCGTGCAATTTGGTTTCAAGTAGAACATAAGGTTGACGGAAACCCGGGGACTGCGCCTACCTGATGAACCCCCAAAAAGGGCGAAACCCGTCGTGGGCTGTCGACGGATTTTCAGCAACCTTATGAGTAGCACATTACAAATATATACATGTGTCGCGATATCTCGAATATCGTAGCGACTGAAACATGTGTCCTGGTGCAGCGCGTTCAGTTGCCTGGAAACATCATGAACGAAAGATTCAGCTGGGTTCCAGGTGAATCTCTCGCAAAACCAAATTAGCTTGCAACTGAGTGTATTTCGCTAATTTACTGTTCTTATTTTCTCCCGTACGCCGAATAGTTATCAGCGCGGAGTGATTTCTGCTGATGTGACTGATCCAGCAATTGAACTTTGCTATCGGACTAGAAGCCAGACATCAGTGTTCCTCTGAGATATCTTTCAAAACTTTTATTCATCAGACTAATTCGATGGCTGATGTAAATGGTCAATTAGATTGACCTTTGGTGTGAAGGGTTTCAGGTGCCTTCTTTCCATTCTTGTTTTGAATAGTGAGTAGAACTCTCTTTCGCTGCATCGTGGTAGCCTGGTTTCCTGTATCCTGTTTTTTTTTACTTCAGGGAACTAGACCGAATTTTTATTCGTTTACTATGTTGTGAATAGTTCATGTCACCGACTGTTGCATAAAGCTTATCCTGTTGCTATCGGTTTCAACTATCTCACAGTGGTCACATACCCAAAATACCCTTTTTTCTTAGAAATGGGAAGAAAGAAGCGAGGAGGACCGTCTTTTGATTGAACGCATTCTGATTCTTGTCCGAAATGTGCTTCATATCGCCCCTGATCCATTGGAGGAAAAGGTTTGTAACTGCGCTTCTGCATTTTACTGCTGGCTTGCATTTGCAGCGGACGGATGAAGACGTTTCGGTACATGACCAGCTGATTTGGGCGATGCACCTATCCGGTTGGGACGAGTTGCTCCTGTTTTTGGGCAATTCAGAAGATGAACAAACGTTTGCCTTTCATACTTTGGAAATTATATCGCTAATGCTTCGCCAACAGGTACTTTTCCCATTAGATTTTTGAATTTTTAACTCAGTTCTATTCCCAAATTCATATGCCCTATCATAAAGGAGTGCCAACAAAACTTTAGAAAAGCTCATTATCACATTTATCTGTCAAGTTGGTACTTTTCTGACCACTATGGGTGTCAGCGGGTGAATAGCTGTTTCTGGATTGCTTCAGCGGCCTCGATTGTGCATCGGTACCAATTGTTTTCACAAGAACTTTTACTAGACCCCTTCTGTAGGACGCCAAACACTGAATACGGTTGTGATCACAAAGTTTATTCTCGGCTTGTTCCTCAGTTTGCTGTTACATCCGTGAATTTTGTTAGAAACGCACGGAACCAGATTGATGCTTATGTAGCAACTCACAAGATTTGCTGTGGTTCTCGACATGTCCTACCCCGCGTATTACTTCCATTGTGTCAAAACTAACCATTCTGCCCTTCAGGCTTTGTGATGAGGAAAAAATATCAGACAGTGCGAAAACTAACTGCTCATAAGCAGCAAGTAGAAATAATGTGGTTTGTTAGTACACCGTTAGCGTTTTAACAATGTTACCCAGGATAAGAATTTAATTCGAGAAAGATAAAATAACTTTAGTGGCTCTAAATTCATGGAAAACCTACATTGACCCTTTCTCAGCCGGATACTGAAATCGTACAGAAATAGCTGAAATACGCATAATTTTAGTCAAGATTTGCCTGGTTTTTCGACATCTAAATAAAATAGAAGCGGTGCTTTTGAGACCATTGCCTAAAGACAGACCTCACCATTAGCCTGTATTATTCTTGAAACTCTTGTCCCACTGAAACTCGAAATCCAGAATTAGTTCACAACTTGTGCGACCGATTGAAATAAACAAAGCAGTTGGAGCGATTTTTAGTTGCAGATCGAGGCCTTGTTCAGCTGTAGCACCCTTTCAGTGCCTAGCTGCCATGCCACACGAATGAGGCACGGGAGCTGGGATACTGTCAGGTCGCCCAAGCCTCGACAGGGGAAGTCGACAGGCAGATGTCGGGTTCGAACCGCGGACCTTCCGGTCAGTAAATTCGTGCTCTAGCACTTGGTCTATCTCGCCCCGAGGCCTAACAAGTTGGGAAGAGCATTTGCCGTGTTATTAACGACAAAATTTGGAGACCTGTCACATTACGACAGTGGGAAACAACGAAGATTGTTGGTAGGAAATGGCTTGGTATTGAGGCTAATCACTATGGGTGTCAGCGGGTGAATAGCTGTTTCTGGATTGCTTCAGCGGCCTCGATTGTGCATCGGTACCAATTGTTTTCACAAGAACTTTTACTAGACCCCTTCTGTAGGACGCCAAACACTGAATACGGTTGTGATCACAAAGTTTATTCTCGGCTTGTTCCTCAGTTTGCTGTTACATCCGTGAATTTTGTTAGAAACGCACGGAACCAGATTGATGCTTATGTAGCAACTCACAAGATTTGCTGTGGTTCTCGACATGTCCTACCCCGCGTATTACTTCCATTGTGTCAAAACTAACCATTCTGCCCTTCAGGCTTTGTGATGAGGAAAAAATATCAGACAGTGCGAAAACTAACTGCTCATAAGCAGCAAGTAGAAATAATGTGGTTTGTTAGTACACCGTTAGCGTTTTAACAATGTTACCCAGGATAAGAATTTAATTCGAGAAAGATAAAATAACTTTAGTGGCTCTAAATTCATGGAAAACCTACATTGACCCTTTCTCAGCCGGATACTGAAATCGTACAGAAATAGCTGAAATACGCATAATTTTAGTCAAGATTTGCCTGGTTTTTCGACATCTAAATAAAATAGAAGCGGTGCTTTTGAGACCATTGCCTAAAGACAGACCTCACCATTAGCCTGTATTATTCTTGAAACTCTTGTCCCACTGAAACTCGAAATCCAGAATTAGTTCACAACTTGTGCGACCGATTGAAATAAACAAAGCAGTTGGAGCGATTTTTAGTTGCAGATCGAGGCCTTGTTCAGCTGTAGCACCCTTTCAGTGCCTAGCTGCCATGCCACACGAATGAGGCACGGGAGCTGGGATACTGTCAGGTCGCCCAAGCCTCGACAGGGGAAGTCGACAGGCAGATGTCGGGTTCGAACCGCGGACCTTCCGGTCAGTAAATTCGTGCTCTAGCACTTGGTCTATCTCGCCCCGAGGCCTAACAAGTTGGGAAGAGCATTTGCCGTGTTATTAACGACAAAATTTGGAGACCTGTCACATTACGACAGTGGGAAACAACGAAGATTGTTGGTAGGAAATGGCTTGGTATTGAGGCTAATCTTTCTTGGCTTTAGTCTAGAATCAAGAGGTAGGTAGAGGGGAATCAGCCGTGACACGACAACATTATTCCAGCTTAGCAGGAATCAGTTTGACTTTAATGAACTAGGGAAAGCTGTCAGAATAGCTCAAACATCATGCTAACTGGAAGGTTCCTCATGTCACCATCCCATATGAGTCAACGTGAATACAAAAGGCTCAAGTTGGCCAACTAAGTCCGGAAGCAGCACAGTTACGTGATAGATTTGGAGCCGATGCTGAGCATACGAATAGTGTGGAGCGACTGTTTTAGTTGTGTGAGATCATCGTCTGTTCCTGGCCAGTACGAACTTCCAACACAAACACTCACATCGATTTACTTGGAAGCCACAAGACAGTCGTGGACTCACTTGGGCCATGTGGGTATCAGTTACCGATTAAGAGCGTCAATTAAAGATGGTCGTTCTTTCTGGGGTACGCAACTTGACTCTGATCATGCCATTGTGTGAGCCCGGCTATCACTTCGCTTTCCGTCACCATTATGCACGCCAAGGTCAAGCAGTTTCATTCATCAACTCAGACCACTTTCGGTAGCTCAAGAGTATCGAACTGATCTGGTTAGAAATCTGCTTGAAATGCACAGTCATGTGGATGATGAAGATTGCTTGGAGGTTGAATGGAAGCGAGCAAAGAAGCCTTGCTTTTGGTTTTTAGAACTGTTTGTCTAAGCCATCCGACTCGACTAAATGAATATTGGATACAGTCGACATCTCCGTCAGAAAGACCATACCAGCAACGAGCAACTGTCTGTGATGGCGCACGCAGATCCCTCCAATGCCGGATAACCAGGAGCTTGTTGAATAACAGAACGCTAGCGGATTTTAAAATACCAGGAGATGGAGAAGGCATTAGCTGCAGGCAACAGCTGTGCCCTATTTAAGCTAATCTGATCAGCTGGTCAAAAGAAGACTTGTATCACATCTGTGCTCTCTGGCAATGTTTTACTCAGGTTGGTAGGTTATCGGAGGGGAGAGATTCTGGCTGATCGGATTGAGTTTCGCCCTGACCAAAGATGCATTAGCGTCCCACGTTGGTTGTTTTTGCTTGATCTGAAAGCTGCCTTCGACTCTGTCACCGTCAATTGTCAGAAACTGTGGCGGTGTCTGGCGATCAAAGGTGTCCCTTCCAAATTTATGTCCCCTATGAAGTCACCGTGTTCGAATTCCTGTGAGCGCGTACGAGTATACGGCAAGCTTTCGCCTGATTTCACCACATCCAATGGTGTAAGACAATATTCCCCTGTCTCACACCATATTTCCAGGGCAGAGTTTACACTGGCACCGTGATGCATACTGCTTTATGGATCAATGATGTGGCTTCTACGCGCAGAAGATATACGGAAAATATCAGTGGTTGACCATCGGTGTCTGGTCGGATGGGAACGTCGGATTAGTAATGTTGAGGTACGCCAGATGCTCCCAGGAAGATGGAACTCTCCTGAGTTAGGTGAATCACCCACACTTCATAGGTTGCGCCGGTTAGGACATGTGCTCCGTATACCAGAAAACCGCTTGCCTCGTAGAGCTGTTTTCGCTAGGCCCTGTGCTGAGTGAAAGCGACCTAGGGGTGGACAGTGTATGACCCGGCAACGAATTATGACGGCACTAACCAGTAAACTTAGTCGGGTCGACAGCTGCTGCCTCCCAGAGTGGGGACCCCGGGGCTCAAATCACCAATGATTAATGACACTGGCAGAAATGGCCCGATTGCGCAGTCATCTGCGCTCATGCATCAAGGCTGTCGCTTTCATTGCTTAGATACCCAGCTCTCGGGCTAGCGAAACATGCCGTCCCCTCCAATGCTTGGCTGTATGTCCCAAGCTTTCCAACTTTCCGGCGATCGAAACTGTAGCAGCTCGAACCAATGTGTCTATGGTACTCGGTTTATAACTGATAAATTGAATTGAATGCCTCATGAGGGTGATTCAATCAGTCAGATACCTTCGATTTTGACGTGGTCCGACCCACTCCCACCACCAATGTTATGTTCAGAAAACAACCAGAGGATCGCCTGTCTCGCCAAGCTACTTCTGTGCGTCTACAAATTTGGTTGCCCTTGTTGGACTGGCCGCATTTCTGAACGTGTGTCGGAGCATATGACAGAAGGAGTTGCAAATAGTGCTCACATTTCAGTACCAGTACGTCTTGTGGGTACAGTCCGGTTCTGTGACGGGATTCAACAAGGTCAGTCTGAAGATATCCCATGCAACGGGAATTAGAATGTTCGACGTCACAGAAACCGTGTGCATAGGACTACGGGGTGAGATGGCTCATTGGTTAGAACGCGACCTGAAAGTCCTTGGTTCGAACCCGACCTCTGCCTCTTGATTTTCCCTGTCTAGACTTGGGCAACCTGACACTATCCCAGCCCTCATGCTTCCTTCTGGTGGCATGGCAGCTAGGCTCCTAATGGATGCTACAGCTGAACTATTTTTATCACCGGACTACACAGGCCTGAATCGTGTGTTTAAGCGCAGTTTTATCAAACATCGTGCTTAGCATGGCCTAGTCAGTTTAACCCTGCTTTGGTTAGACGAGCTCAGCACCTGCTTAAGTTTCAAACTCCTTCTCTCTCACTCTCCTGTTGTCATTACTCTAGTCCTTCGACATTTGGCTTTCAAAGCGATGTCTTCATTCTTCGTCTTTTAATGTATTAGTTCTTAAATTGCGCCTTTATTCACTGTTGCTCAAAAGTGTTTCCAAATTTTTCGGTCAGACACCCGACATCTTGGCTTCTGCAGGAGATGAATCAAAAGAAGCATCCAAGATGAACGAGTAGGTTGTCCTTGCTAGTGTTCATCCTCATTCTCAACAGTGTTTCCGAGCGCCAGTGGGCTATCGAAAGTTCGGAGAAACGCCGTTTCTTACGCGACCTTAATTCAAGGTTGGTTTCAACATTCTCATCTTTGATATCATGTGTTTTGTTGCTTTGGATGGAAGAGACTATGACCCGGTTCATCTTTCTGTCAATTATCCCGATTTAAAGTTTTCCGCACGAATCCTGATTGAGCTCTCCCGAGATAATTTAGATGTGTGTAACATTCGAAAGGATAGATTCCTAATAATAAAAATGATTTTGGTAGGTCAACTTTAGGTTTGACGAACGACATAGATTGGTAAGAACCGTGGACCTTTCCGTTAGTAATTTTACGCCTTAATCATTGAGTTATCTCGAGATCAAGTGAGATGCGTGGTACTTGAACTCATTTAGAGGAAAAAGTGAAAAAAGGTGGTAAACAATAATAACAACAGCAACAACAAAATTTGACTGGTAGAATGATTGAAAGTGTCAAGGCGGAGCCCAGTTCACGCAATCTGGGAGAACCATTTACCGTAGTAGAGGTATGTGTCACATTTTGACACTAAGGGAGATGGGATATTGTTGGTTAGTGATGGGGTGGTATTGAGGTTGATGAGCGTTTTTGAATGTGGTCCAGAATCGAGAGCCAGATGCACGACGTCATGGAACAACATTATCCTAGTTTAAAAGTAATTTGGAACCAAAAAGCCAGATTGGGTCAGAGGTGGAACGCAACTGCAGCGCCAATTTTGACTTGAGTGAACTAGAAGAGTTCCAACCCGGGTTTGCTGGGGCCGATAAACAATTGGGATAGACTGTCAACAAAGCTCAACCTCAGGACGGTGAATGTGCAGATCTTGAAGTACAGACCCGAGGTTTAATGTCACTGCACTTGCAAAGCCTCACTGGCAAATTTCGACTTATACGCCCTCAAAATACTGCTGGTTTGTAGGTGATCGCTTCGTATCCGGATAGACAGAGCACTTTGAAAAATAGAACCGGTACCTTGCCAACAGATGCCTGAGGGTTATTGATATTCGACGAGAATGTGACAGTTTTGAGAAGTCCGTGCAATCATTCCCCACTCAGACGCACACAAACTGATCGGTCCTTAAAATGCTTGAGATCCCGCTGATCGGTTTGCTTTTGGGAGGACGTCCACGCGCCATGAGCGATTATCAACTTTTTCTATGTCAAATGGTATCACTTCTGTTCTGCCAAACTTGTTCGACGCGTGCAATCAGAGGTATGAGGTGAGCGGTATGGAATGTGGTTATTTATAAAAGGCAAATGCAGCAAAAAGTGGAAAAGTTCTCAGGAGTGTGATCCTCATAGGTACCCAATTTACCTCGGATTTTGGAGCATCAAATATGGAAGCGTTTTCAAATTATGACTAGAAGGAAGGTCTCCCGGAAACTTGTCTTGGTAACGCTTTTGGGCTTTTGCTAGGAGTATATTTTGAAGGGCAACTATCGGCGTTTAATTATGCGATTGCTGTTGGTAGCGCCGATTGCGCAGTCATCTGCGCTCATGCATCAAGGCTGTCGCTTTCATTGCTTAGATACCCAGCTCTCGGGCTAGCGAAACATGCCGTCCCCTCCAATGCTTGGCTGTATGTCCCAAGCTTTCCAACTTTCCGGCGATCGAAACTGTAGCAGCTCGAACCAATGTGTCTATGGTACTCGGTTTATAACTGATAAATTGAATTGAATGCCTCATGAGGGTGATTCAATCAGTCAGATACCTTCGATTTTGATGTGGTCCGACCCACTCCCACCACCAATGTTATGTTCAGAAAACAACCAGAGGATCGCCTGTCTCGCCAAGCTACTTCTGTGCGTCTACAAATTTGGTTGCCCTTGTTGGACTGGCCGCATTTCTGAACGTGTGTCGGAGCATATGACAGAAGGAGTTGCAAATAGTGCTCACATTTCAGTACCAGTACGTCTTGTGGGTACAGTCCGGTTCTGTGACGGGATTCAACAAGGTCAGTCTGAAGATATCCCATGCAACGGGAATTAGAATGTTCGACGTCACAGAAACCGTGTGCATAGGACTACGGGGTGAGATGGCTCATTGGTTAGAACGCGACCTGAAAGTCCTTGGTTCGAACCCGACCTCTGCCTCTTGATTTTCCCTGTCTAGACTTGGGCAACCTGACACTATCCCAGCCCTCATGCTTCCTTCTGGTGGCATGGCAGCTAGGCTCCTAATGGATGCTACAGCTGAACTATTTTTATCACCGGACTACACAGGCCTGAATCGTGTGTTTAAGCGCAGTTTTATCAAACATCGTGCTTAGCATGGCCTAGTCAGTTTAACCCTGCTTTGGTTAGACGAGCACAGCACCTGCTTAAGTTTCAAACTCCTTCTCTCTCACTCTCCTGTTGTCATTACTCTAGTCCTTCGACATTTGGCTTTCAAAGCGATGTCTTCATTCTTCGTCTTTTAATGTATTAGTTCTTAAATTGCGCCTTTATTCACTGTTGCTCAAAAGTGTTTCCAAATTTTTCGGTCAGACACCCGACATCTTGGCTTCTGCAGGAGATGAATCAAAAGAAGCATCCAAGATGAACGAGTAGGTTGTCCTTGCTAGTGTTCATCCTCATTCTCAACAGTGTTTCCGAGCGCCAGTGGGCTATCGAAAGTTCGGAGAAACGCCGTTTCTTACGCGACCTTAATTCAAGGTTGGTTTCAACATTCTCATCTTTGATATCATGTGTTTTGTTGCTTTGGATGGAAGAGACTATGACCCGGTTCATCTTTCTGTCAATTATCCCGATTTAAAGTTTTCCGCACGAATCCTGATTGAGCTCTCCCGAGATAATTTAGATGTGTGTAACATTCGAAAGGATAGATTCCTAATAATAAAAATGATTTTGGTAGGTCAACTTTAGGTTTGACGAACGACATAGATTGGTAAGAACCGTGGACCTTTCCGTTAGTAATTTTACGCCTTAATCATTGAGTTATCTCGAGATCAAGTGAGATGCGTGGTACTTGAACTCATTTAGAGGAAAAAGTGAAAAAAGGTGGTAAACAATAATAACAACAGCAACAACAAAATTTGACTGGTAGAATGATTGAAAGTGTCAAGGCGGAGCCCAGTTCACGCAATCTGGGAGAACCATTTACCGTAGTAGAGGTATGTGTCACATTTTGACACTAAGGGAGATGGGATATTGTTGGTTAGTGATGGGGTGGTATTGAGGTTGATGAGCGTTTTTGAATGTGGTCCAGAATCGAGAGCCAGATGCACGACGTCATGGAACAACATTATCCTAGTTTAAAAGTAATTTGGAACCAAAAAGCCAGATTGGGTCAGAGGTGGAACGCAACTGCAGCGCCAATTTTGACTTGAGTGAACTAGAAGAGTTCCAACCCGGGTTTGCTGGGGCCGATAAACAATTGGGATAGACTGTCAACAAAGCTCAACCTCAGGACGGTGAATGTGCAGATCTTGAAGTACAGACCCGAGGTTTAATGTCACTGCACTTGCAAAGCCTCACTGGCAAATTTCGACTTATACGCCCTCAAAATACTGCTGGTTTGTAGGTGATCGCTTCGTATCCGGATAGACAGAGCACTTTGAAAAATAGAACCGGTACCTTGCCAACAGATGCCTGAGGGTTATTGATATTCGACGAGAATGTGACAGTTTTGAGAAGTCCGTGCAATCATTCCCCACTCAGACGCACACAAACTGATCGGTCCTTAAAATGCTTGAGATCCCGCTGATCGGTTTGCTTTTGGGAGGACGTCCACGCGCCATGAGCGATTATCAACTTTTTCTATGTCAAATGGTATCACTTCTGTTCTGCCAAACTTGTTCGACGCGTGCAATCAGAGGTATGAGGTGAGCGGTATGGAATGTGGTTATTTATAAAAGGCAAATGCAGCAAAAAGTGGAAAAGTTCTCAGGAGTGTGATCCTCATAGGTACCCAATTTACCTCGGATTTTGGAGCATCAAATATGGAAGCGTTTTCAAATTATGACTAGAAGGAAGGTCTCCCGGAAACTTGTCTTGGTAACGCTTTTGGGCTTTTGCTAGGAGTATATTTTGAAGGGCAACTATCGGCGTTTAATTATGCGATTGCTGTTGGTAGCGACTTGTACGGAGGCCAGCCGTCCCTAATAACCGAACATCACATTATTTGGGCGGATGTGTCACGTGCAGGACACGGATCAAAGGAAAGCATGCCCTGATTGGTCAGAACGCCAGCCAATTCGGATCGAGCATCTCTGACTCGACGCTTCTCGCCCCCTCACCGAGATTCTAGCACGACCTTGTGGAACATTCTGTGACTACCCTATAAATACGGTCGTAGTAATTTTCCTTTGTCTTCATAAAGGGCTGTGTAGAGCTACCGTGCCTTTTGATATACCATAGTGAGCGGAGTAGGAAGCCAAGGGACCGACACAGAGTTGTACTACCAAGACACGGCTCGGCTCGAATACAAACATGAGAAAACCTCTTGGAAGGGAAATATTTACTGAAGTTAAAGAAATTGTATAAACAGTTGTACTCTTAAGGGCGCCAAGGGACCGACACAGAGTTGTACTACCAAGACATAACACGGCTCGAATACAAACATGAGAAAACCTCTTGGAAGGGAAATATTTACTGAAGTTAAAGAAATTGTATAAACAGTTGTGCGTAGCTCTTAAGGGCTGCTGTGAATCTTCCGACACTCATGGACGGGCCATTGTGTGTCGGAACCATATCTTACTGAAGTTTCATGGGGTCCACAACACACTCCACCACAGCGAATACGGGCGTTCTACATTAAGGCATTTGTCATGCTGTTTTACTGGTGTTTGCTCGTGTGAGGTCAGATTAACTGTTGGTTTCGATTCGTCATTTCAGCGCTCCTTATTTACATGCGACATTCATGTTCACTCATTTTCATACCCCTAGATCAAACCGATTCGGTGGTACCTATGAGTTGTTGAGCACACCTTCCCTGTCTGAGCGTCCCTTGATTTACCATCACGACATCACGCCCTCTCTTGATGTAAACTGTTCAGGGCAGAAAGCTGTGGACAGTCATTCACACAGAGAAATAATGGAGACCGAGGTTGGGCTTGTGGACTTGGATGTCGATAAACGCACCTTCCGCAAGCCAAGGAATCGGAAACCCGTAATTGAACGCTCGGTTCATCGGCGGTCCATTTTAGCCGTTCAACTGTATCTACAGGTATTTTTTGCGTGTTTATTGTTGTTGGTCAAAATTTTTAATGTCTTTAGGCATCCCTTGTTTTTTTCTTGCTACTCTTGTTTTTGTGGAAAACGGAGTATGCTCTTAGTGGCGGTCCACCCGTTTTCTTTATCAGCTGGTGGTGATTGATCACAAACTCATTCGTTCGTTCATGCCTGTTAGTACGTGTCGCTTATTCGTAGCCGATCACGTGATGTGTACTGTGTTAACAGTTGAAACATTCTAGGACGGTGTGATTGGAAGGGAAAACACCTACAGGACCACAATAATCGTTTCGCCATTCCAACTGATGTCAGTTACGGCTTTGTGCGTGAATGTGCTCTGCTTGCGTTCATCATCACCCGTTTCGTCTGTAATACAAGTGACGTTGGATCGCCTGTCTCGGGGCATCAGCAGTCGTCAATTCTTAAAGGACATAGGAGCAGGACACAGCACTATAAGTCAGGCGTTTTCTAGTCACTTACTTCTAAAGTGTCTTCACTAAATACCCTCCACCAACACAAAACGAGATGCGGCACAGCGCCTTCACGGCCTTGTAGTAAAGTTTCATCTGTATTTTAATCAACGCAACCAGTACAAATGGCACCAGACAAACACACTGAGTGGGTCAACGTCAAGCGGGAGGTTTGAGCTTGATCCTACCCACTCGTGCAGTGTAGCACTTCTACACTTCTCAAGTGTGATACCCACAACATATCAGACGGTGAAATTGACGATATTATTTGTTCATGTTTGCATTTTTCGAGGACTCCGGCTGAAGAAAACTTTATCGCTGAAGTATTAAGATCGATAAAAATGCCTGGGGATTAGCCCAACTCCATTTGATGGTGTCGGACGACGCAGATTAACGCGGGACCGTGGCATACATAAATATGTGGATTCGGAATTTGACCATCGGTTGACATTTATGAAAATTTCTGAGGAATTCGTTCTTTACTAGTATGTCGTCTACCGAAGCATTCAACTGTTTCACTTCCAGTGTATTTGGTTGAGTTGCAGACCATTCCTTGACAGATGAACGTAGATAAGCTTAGAGTCCCCGCACTCCGTGTCGACAGTTTGATCACTTGGGGTCGGAGGGGTAGCTCTATGCAACTAAAGTTGCAGACCATTCCTTGACAGATGAACGTCGAAAAGCGTAGTGTCCGCGCACTCCGTGTCGACAGTTTGATCACCCGGGGTCAGAGGGGTAGCTCTATACAGCTAAGCAATTTCAAACGGGATTCTGTTAGAATACTGGTGATAATAGCCTCACTTCAAAATCATGCAATAAAGACACTTGGGTTCTTGCAAACCCTATTGTGGAAAGGAAAGTATGTGGGACTCTGAAGTAACCCCACATGAGCATTTTGCTGTAGAGTAAACACTCCGCTAATTCACCAGCAACAACAGAACTTCATGCTCGCCATGCCAAAAGACTATCATCTTCCGCTAGTTTTTGCCAATTCATCCATACCTGATGGTGCTTAATCAAATTAAATCAGGTATTAATCACAAGTTTAGAATTTCAACTAGAAGGTTAAACTGGTTCTAAACGGGTTTCCAGGTCCCTCTGGCGTACACATTATTACCGAATCTTTAGTTTAGACGCCAAAGAAAAACACTTTTTTAAGATGACCAAATGCTTTGGAGTATTACTCTGTAGCTTCGCAATTCATTTGAAGCTCCCCAAACTGGAGTCCCTTCCGTTGTTTTTTTAAACTTTGAATTCCTTGGTTCCGTCACTCACTTGGAGTGACTTATCTCCATTTTTTCCAACCAGAAATTTTGCTGGCAGTTTTTGCAGTACTGCTATAATCCACTGATGCGGACGGCCAAGGCATCATTGACTCGTCAGGCGACTCAAGAAAATGATGAGACCTATTACTTGTGGGCAATGCGTTTCTTCATGGCTTTCTGTCGAGTGTACAAATTCCGATCGGAATACTTAAGGTGAGCTTCATCATGGTCGTTTGCCCCTGGGTCGTTGGAGCCAGGTTCCGAAACTTCTATCCATATTTCTTCGGTCTCACCCATAGCGAAACTCTCAATGCGGCCACCTTTCACTGGATCTACGACCAAGTGATGCACTACCGGGAGGTTGTTTTTTCCGATAAGCGTGGTGGTGGAACGAATCGTCGCGCTCTGCAAGCCTCCCGGCGTCTTGAGTTGGCCGTGGCTGCTTACCGTGAATTCCTCACTTGTGTAGAACGAATGTTTCGCGTCACAGCATCTGATCGAGTACCTGACATATCCGCGGGGGAAACTCAAGAAGCTGTCGAAGAGCGGTTACGGATTCAGTCGACCGCTGCTGAATCCATCATGGGTGAGTTGGTATGACGTGTCAGAACGGTTATTTACTCTAGATCGACGCGGAGGCTGCTTTGCCTATCCGCACTTCTAGACCTTTTTAAACCTTCATTCCCAATTAGAGATGTTTTCAGGCAAACTTCCTTTTCCTTTGGGTTTATTCATAGCGGATTCACCTATCCCACGTGATTCCGTCCTGTGTACGAACAACTTCCTATTCCTTCATAACCGTAGGATATTTTCCTCCTTTAACTGTCACTCAACCAGATAACATTATTTCCTCTTATTCTTCCTATCAGCGAACGTCTTCTACGTGTCCGAATACCAAGAAGTTTATCCCATGCTGATAAAGGACTTCAATGAAGCCATTCAATCAAGGTTAGCTCTTCAGCTGCGCAATTTTATATCCACTTTTAATGCAAAATAATGAAGGCTGCCATAGGAGTTTTCATAACACATTCCAGCTATATCAAATCTTGGCTCCTATTTGTCTCATATTACGATGACATCGTGTGATAGAATGTGTCGGCTTCACGAGTGTACTGCAGTCTCGCTACCTTCGAGTGGTCGGCCAAGAGCTGCTGATCCCCTGATTTTGAGTACTTAGTTGCTGTTCCCAAGCACTGTAAGTTTTCACAACCTGCTTTTTACTCAAGGAGCTCACTTCTTTGCATCACCTTCTTAATAACGGTATTTTCCTCAGTTTAGTTCTCGGTCGGAACCTCCCAAGCTAGCGTCTCCGTCAAAAACAACCACCAAAGGTGCACCACATACATTAACGCCCAAAACCAGGGCTAGAACACTTGCACAGCGCTTCGTATATAAAGTTTACACCGCGACAACATTCCAGCGTTCTGAATGCGCCAATGGTTACAGGCATTCGGCAAATACTGGGTCATTATTGGCTGTTTTGTCTATACTTTCGACCAATCAGAGCTTGGTTTGGTGCCGTACCGGCAAGTGGTCCGAACTTTTGGCCAATCTTGTGCGGGGTATAGTACCCGGCCGTAGCAGCGCCTAAGTGCGAGCGGCAAAGCGCTTTTGGTGTGAAACTCTTCTTAACACACCTCCAGGTTATGCATTCAGTTTTGGATAAAATTACCTGTACCGAACCTTGCTTACTGGTGTGTATATGCTCAGGAGTTATGCATCGTTTCTTGGTTGATTTAGACCTTTCCAAGTCACCGGAGAACTTAGTCGGCCTATCCTTATAATTAGATGTGCTTATCAGTCTTTTTATTAACCTTTACCAGTTGCTACCTGATATCCGTGTCAAAAATATTTGACGAAGATTTAATGGTGCTCTTATATCGTGCGTTTCATCTAGGGAGCACCTACGCAATCTGGTCGAAGGTTCACACTTGTTCATATCGTTATTGGCAGAGCGCCTAAAGAGTGGCACTCAAACGTTATTTGTACGCCGACGCAGGGTAGTTCGTCGGCGTCGCGCGCGAAGAGCGAAGCCTGTGAAAAGACGAACTACAGAAGAGGAAGAGGACAATGATACACCAGAGGTGCGCAAGCTAAGGCTAGAATATCAGTGGTCAAACCAGTTGGTGCAGCCATTGATAGACGGACTGGAGCGTCCGACTGATACAAATAGCCAAGAGAACGAAGATCCTGAAGAATCACGGTTGTTCGATGCAACTTCTGGAGGATCGGAAGCAAGACAGCTTCGGTCTGCTATTCGTCGTGTTCAATCAGCCTTATTTGCTGGAGAAGCCCTAACTGCTCTGCGCCTGGCTCTTCGACTTTGGAGACTCTGGCCCGAAGTAGCTCCGATCTCTGTTGACGAGAATGATCCAGTGCTCAGTGACGATCGTACGGCCGGACTCAATCCAAGCCAGCTGGCTATTTTGGGAGCACTACGGCAAATACATTCCACTGAATTTGAAGGCACGTTTCTTCTTCGGAGTTTACGAACAATTTGTTTGTCCTTGTGATTTCTTCGGAGCTCTTGGTTTGCTTTCCTTTTTAACTCCACGAAGCCTCATGAATATCTGTCGGTCGGTTTTCAGCGTAGAACATTTTAAGCCCACGGAACCGTAGGCCTTTTGGTTCAACGAATACTGTATTCTAAGAATAACATTTTCCATTCTATCAACAGTGCAGCACCGTTAGAGCGAACAGTGTGCCCGGCGAACGCTTTTCAAAATATACGTAGGGAATCCCTTGACAAATCCGTTTTTTTTCTTCCGGATAATACGTCCGTTAGGGCGAATGTGATTGGATTTATTAGGCTCTGGAATGAACCACTTTTGTCAGCTGTTCACTCGCAACATCAAACAAATGGTACACTGTTGTGTTAGGACGTTGGAGAACCACCCATGACTACACGCATCCGGTATGGATATCATCACAGTTTAAGACTGACCTGTTGAAAACTGGTAGTAAACTTTAAATACACTTATAACTAGTAGGAATGGTAATGCACCTGCCGGTTGAAATATTTTATTCACAAGACCATTGATTATTATGCCAACAGAGACCATTTTCAGATTTTATGGGGTGGTACCCTCGGTGGAGCGTCATTTGAACAAACTTTCAGTCACGATGAATAAATTTAAGAGTTTTGGAGAGATGTTGAAAGGCCTCGGCATAAAAGGTAATCGAGGACGGAAGTGGTTGTACCAGAGAGTAGTTGCGCAGCTGCGCAACCAAAACTGCCTCGTCGTTTGAGGTGACGGGCGGGTCAATCACATCGCTGGAACCTGAAAATGTTCGTTTGTTTAAACGTGATAATTCGGGTGTTTCCAGCGTGCATCGGTGAAGTTTGGGGTTCAAATCCCAGCGCAGCTAAGTATGCTGAAACACACGAACTCCTGGTCGCATGTCCGACAGGTGAATTTGATGGCTTTTGCTCCCTTCTGGCAGGGATGCCGATCGAAATATGCTCCAAAATGTGGTACGCCATTTGACTTTAGTGTATCATCTGAAATCGGTCTGTTGGAAGAGTGTTATCGTAGGGTGAGGACGGTAGCAGTCGTTTTCATTACCTTTTCATTGCTCCTCATTCATTTTCACGAAGTACTCATCTCCCCTACCGCCTCGATTTTCAGCCCTTCGTTTCTTTAAATTTCTGTTGTTATGCTGCTGGTCTATTTTGCAAGTCACATAAATGCTGATATCGTTTTCCGTCTTCCCAGAGATCAGGTATATTTTTTTCACTAAACTATTTTTAGAAGAGGATGAGGACGTTGAAGCTGATGAGGAAGATGCTGGTGATGATGACGACGAGTCTGAAGACAATCTGTACAATGAGGAGATGGGCATTGAGAACGACGGAGACAATGAAGGAGTCCTGGTAACAACGGAGAAAGAGGTCCAAATGGACTTTGATGCTTTTCTCCTGAAGTTCGCCCATCCGCGGATCGTCTATGCACTCACGTGAGATTTGCCCGTGTTTTTTTGATCCGGTGAAGACCGTTTAGCAAGTAGATCACCCTGGTTAGAAAACCATTTTTGGCTTTTTTGGATTCCCGCGAAGTTGGTTTGTTGTTGCTGGTTTTCCGCGATGACACTTCACACAAATATCGTCAATGACACAGACATGTTTGTGTCGTGAGATTTGGCCTCACTCAACAGGAGACAGGCCCATTTTCCAGTATCGAAAACAATTGTTTTCTCAGCGTGCTTCCTTTCTATTCCACTCGCGTGTGTGTTGGTCGGCGTGGTGACGTATTCCGACGAAGTTAGTAACAGCGTTGACTAACTCGTGACTGAAGCTAATGAGGGAGTTATCTTACACGTCCCTTATAGCAGCTTAGCCCTTGGTTGCTGACTTGCTAAGGCCTACAAATTGGAACGAGTTTGTAACGTTGCGCTGATTCTCCGACAACCCCGATGTGTACATGAAGGGGTGAGCTGAGTGTTTTTGTCGAGAGCTGAGCTGCCATTTGGCTCTGCATTTAATGTCAACGTTTTACCGAGGGCCTACTACCGTCTGGCCACAGCAGACATTTAAATATCAGCCTTCCGTGCCCATCTATACAGTTCTGACGTATTCTACATTTCGTCGTCCCGAATCAGGTTACTGCGTGCCTATTTGTCATCGGGATATTTGGCCCTACCTTTACGTGTCAAGATGCTTTATCGTTGAGCCAGATGTATCCACCAGCTGGAGTCAGCAACGCTACGAAATGGGTCGGATATTAAAAGGTGCTGTCTAGCTCTGCTACTGGTCTGGCTTAACACTAGAAGGGCAGAAATAAATAACTTCCAGCGAACGGCACAAGGCACCGCTTTGATGAAGGGCATGCTATTTTAAGCGAATACGATATCGGCATAAAACAAACTACATAATGAAAGGCACCAAGATACCCATAAAATGATTATAAACGATGGATATATTTTGACGAATGAATTCGAATAACAGGGGGTGCGACGTTGCAGTTGCGCTTTGAAATATCCCTTTGCTTGGGATGAGTAGTTGCACCAACGATTCCCTAACATTTCATGTGGTCTCAAGTGTCCCAACTATCGATTATAAACAAAAGAATAACTGATACAAGATAGCCTTCACTTTGAGTTGGATGAGAGCATTGAATAAAAACGAGGCAACTGCCGTGTTCATGAAAAGCCACTGGTGATTAGTCGTCCCGCACACAACCTTTTATGTTTACTTCTCACGAATTTGAGTGATCAACAGAAATAATTAATGGATTCCTCGTTCCGCCTAAACGCCTGATCACAGCATCAGCAGAGCATAGTAATCAAACGACACCCTAGTGGTTATATGTGTGAAACGCGGCGTCCCCTCCAACAAGACGCCTTAATATATTTGATTATAATCAGAGAAAATGTTAAGAACGAAAATTTGCTCGTACAGTTGTTTCTCGGCTGTTGTACTTGAACAAGCCAAGTTCGGCGTGCAACGATGGAGAGCCGCAGATATTTATAGACCAGCAACGTCTACATAAGGTGCGATATTTTGGATTAACAAAATCCGACGTCAAGTAAATCTCTCACAATAGTGTTCCAATGACTTTTTACGCTACAAAATGCTAGTGTTCTGAAAATTCGCCAAACTATACTTCACGCCCATTATGTTTGGCCTATTCGTTCAACTACTCAAATGTAGTCAGTAGTTCATAATTGATTCACGGGCAATTACCCTGCAGTCGTACTTTATAGCTCACGTTTTCGCTACGTCCCCAAGTGTGCTTTGGACATATTCCAACAAGATTTTCGCCAACATAGCGAATGTATCTTTTTATTACTGCAAAAGGGCTGAAACAGCACGAGAGTGATCCATGGATAGCCTCATCGTAAAGTGTGGTGTTTACGCCTGGATTTCCCCAAAAGAATGGGTAACCACTAAAAATATCGACCTGCCGAGGCGCCTCATATATTCAAAGGACGATGAATCTGCTATCCCTGTTGCATCATCACCAAAGTAACCCGACGGTCTGCTTAGACGAAACCGAAGTACACACAAAAGACAAATTTCAACAAAATGGTAATAACCTAAGGCCATCATAGAGTTTTTAATGATGCCGACAAATGTTACGCCGATATTAAGAGGTTTTTTTTCTCCGACTCTTGAGAGAAGTTCGTGGTGTGTCTGAAAATCAGCCAAGTTCGAAACTGTAGTCGTTTCACAAGTGGGTTTGGTCAATGTCGTCTTTCCACGCTAGCCACGCCACATTTGATTTTTTTGGCCTTATCTGGATAATCTTAGAGTAGGAACGTAGCTACATACCGGAGGCAGGCGATTCGAATCACTCACACTTTGATTGAAGCGTATACGGATTGACCACACAAATAATCTGATGATGTGGAATTTCTGATTGAGGACTGCACTCAGGCCGTTTGTCTCAGCAGCAAGACTTGGGATACAGGCCGAATAAATCAGCATAATCTGATACAAAGGAATAAATCTCTATGTCAGGATTATCACAGATTGCACGGGAAACTTGAATTGTAACATGTCCAACTCCATCCAGGTGGTAGATAGCTGTTGTCCGGGAACGTACCGCCGCCCAACCTGCGGTAGCCTTATATGGGTCACTACTCCTGGACTGCATTGCCACTCCTCAAACAACAAGAGTTGAAGTTTGACGCAAAAATGGAACCTATTATATATAGACTTATGACTCTGACATGGCACTCGCTGTTCCCCCTCTGCTTTTATTTTCCAGTGATAGTCTCCTCATCCTAGATTTCGGCCTTCCCTGTAGGTTTACATTTAGAATGGACATTCTAAGAATCCAGTAAGTCTGTACAATAACTTTGGAAGTGTGACGCAAAATCCCATTGCAAATACAGAAAGCTTAGGAACGTTGATTCGTGAACATTTGGTTGATAGGAGATACCGACGCTCGTGAACTTGGCCATAGATCAAGTATTCACCCATGAAAAGTATTTTGAAATCAATCTTAAGGTTGCTGGTTGCTTTTTATCCGTCTTTTTTCTTTGCGAGGTCTCAGTCTGTTTTTATTGTTAATTATTGGACTCCCAGCTGCTACATCATTTCCTTATTATCACCTCATCTCGTTTTCCTCCTTTGCCTCTTTTTGCGCTGATAACCACACAGCATCCTTCTGGCCGATTGCGCATCGAATCCACGCACAACCAATACAGCTGTCATCCACATTATGCACCGCTTGGCTGTTCGGCAGAAGCTAACCGGTTCTTTTTTTCAACTGCGACTATTTTACATATTTCAACAATTCCTTAGAAACCGCTCGCTTTCCGGTTCATCAGAATTCAAGGTAAGTGTGGCATACCTTCAGAGGAGACTGCACGTTTCCTTGATGTGAAGTTTTGTACACTCCTGTAGCCCAATGAGCTACACTGGACGTTGTCCACATGGTGCCTGCAACGACTCCAGTACAAAGGTGGTCAATGGCTAGAATTCAGAATTCACTCTCTTGACCCTCCAGATTGTAGAGTGGAACATGTGTGGCGACATGTTTCCTTAAAAGTGCACCACTCTGATAGT